AGACCAGTATTTGGCCGGCAATAAATTGCTCATTTATGAATTTATGCATATGTCACATCTATAAATTAAACATAAGCCAAGACTTTTGTTGCATGCTCAGAATAAATCAATACTTCTAGCTAATTAAAAAACATTGTAAATTCAAATTGTGTTCATCACTATATTATAAAAAAATCTGCTTACTTGATGTTTTCATGGGCAAACAACTGAATTAATTATCTTGCTTAGTGGGACCCCCTCCCCAACAAAAAAAAAATCCTTGGGAGGGAAATTCTTAAATACTGATCACAATCCAGTTATTGTTATAATATCTTTTGAAAGCAATTTTGTGTGACTGAGTGCTTACAAAACTGGAGCCAAAATAGTGCGACTAAGAAAAAAACAGAGGGGTATCAGAATAATATGCACAACAACAACATATTTTTAAAAGAATATTAAATATTATTAATTTGTTATTATTTAAATATTTATTATTAATTATTAAATATTATTAAATATTAAAACACCACTAAGCATATCTCAGTAAGGACCAAACAAGTTCTTTTCTCTGCCACCAAGAGTCAGCCTCAATAATATAAGAAAATATGTGTATATTGGCCTTTAGCCCATTGGGAGGGCATACCTGGCTAGAGCCATGTATAGCAGCACTCCTGTTAAGGGGTTAGATACAATGAAACATTTTGCTGCAAGTTTCCATTGTTATTTGCACAGGTCAGTATCCTCTAACCTGGTTCTTTAAAGAGATCCCAATGTAAAAGAGAGAGAGAGCATTTTAGGGTGTTTACAAAATGTCTGTAGTCTTAAAAACAGCTCTCACAAGTGTTCCTCTCTTCTGACAGATTTAATTACAATTTCCAAGGAAAATAATATTTATGAGGTCCACTTGTAAGAATCTGTTGTTTGTTGTTATTGGCAGTCCAGTCAGCTTTAACTTATGGTTACCCTATGAATAAGAAACCTCAAAGAGCCCGGATAATCTACAGCCCTGCTCAGATCTTCAGATTCAGAGTTGAATCTTCCTTTACAAAATCAATCAATCTGTAATGTGATCTTTCTTTTTCCCTACTTTTACTTTACCAAGCATTTGT